CCCCCCCCAAAAAAAAAAACCTAAAGGAAATGTTTCATTTAACCCAAAGTGTAAAAGTTTAATTTTTTTGTTTTGGTTTGCTGAAAATTGTTTTTGAATGGAGTCAACTCAAAACAGTTTTCCCCACCATGATTTAGTTCAGCCACTGAACTGAAAAAGCAGTTATTCACACAGTTTAACAAGACAGTGCCCTGAGCCCTGTTCCACTATTATTAAACCAGGTGTGAGATACCGAACTCAAAACTAGCGGCCTTGATTACAGCTAGACGAGGATGGAGAACGGAGTGCTCCCTGTGTAGCCCTCACTGGACTTCGAATACTTGTACAGCTCTTGAGAATAGAGGAGCTTTGTAAAATAGATCTAGGCAAACACTGCCGGAGGATATTCAAAACCAGATCATGATCTAGTTTCATGAAAACATTTATATTAATATTAAGCTTTTGATATTTGCTTTTTATTTTGGGCACTAGCTACCTGGGAGCATTCCTATAATACTCTGAGGTATTTTTTTAGTTGCATGGATGTAAAGCAGAGGTTCTCAAACTTCATGGCACTGCAACCCCCTTCTGACAACAAAAATTACTACACGATCCCAGGAGAAGGGACTGAAACCTGAGCCCTGCCACCCAGGGCTGAATCCTTCAGGCTTTGGCTTGGGCCCAGAGCCCCAGCAAGTGTAAGCAGTCCTGACCCACAGTTTGAGAACCGCTGATGTAACGGATATTGTAGCTAACCAACTGGAGAAGGCAAAACAAGATTTAATAACAAAAAGACACCATGGCTACAATGTATGCAGTGTAGTTGTAGCCGGGTCAGTCCCAGGATATTACAGAGACCACGTGGGTGAGGTAACTGTTGTATGCAGTGTTCTGAGGGTTACAGATGGTGAGACCTCTGGGGATGATGATTTGTTTCTTGCATTTGCTCAGGAAGTAGATGGTGTTGTTAAGTTTTGCTACAAGGCAGCATTGCATAATGGCCAGGGTAGTGGCCCAAGGCTCAGGAAACCTGAGTTCTATACCCAGCTCTGCCACTGGCCTGCTGGTGATCTCAGGCACGTCACTTTCCCTCTCTGTGCCTCTATTTCCCCATCTGTCTTGTCTAATTATACTGTAAGCTCTTTGAGGCTGCAACTTTCTCTCACTACGTCCATATAAAATGCCTAGCACAATGGGGTGCTGATCTGTACACACTACAAATAATACTTTATAGTAAGTATGCTGTACCTTAGTCCAGTGATGGGGAAATTCTTACAGATGCTACATCTAACGTGATGCATAACCATTTCAGTGGCTGATAATCTATAACAGGTAGGAAGCCACAGGAGAAGGCCAGGTTCAGATTGTAGCCAAGATAGGAATTTCTCTTCACTGATTGCTGAGTTCAGAACCTGGAAAAGAATATCAATCTCAGGTTCAATCACTTACTTAAATAGAACTATTGCCTCTGTCACACCTCATAATATAAGCCCTGATCCTAGATCAGGATATGCTAGCACAGACTCCTCCACACATGTAGAAGACCACTGGCTTCAAAGGGTCTCCACATGAGTCCATGCTAGTACCCTACTGAGTATTCTTCTTTATTGGTGTCAGATGTTTACCATGTGGAACTGGGAAGCAAGCTTGTCCCTTAAAATGAGGTAACTTTAATTGCTGTAATGGGATACACTGGCAATTTCAATCAGTCAGCAACATTCATGGTCACTTCCCAAGGTCATGTGAATTCTACTCACCCCATGGAAGCAGCTTCGAATAGCAATTTCCACACAAGAAGGAGCACAGCTTTCCCCCACAATGGCTGGGATCTACATCAGGAAGACAGACCGCTGTTCAGAACCGCCATGATAAGACAGCTATCACCACCAGGCTATACCGATGTAGTGACAGCACAGATGGTGAAGTGTCAAAGGAAAAGCCATTTACTTCTTATGGTGGGGAAAAGACTGTTTAAATTTAGACACGACACCAGTGTAATTCCAAACCTGACTATGTGTCAGAATGATGTCTCTGGCCCAGTAATTAGATATGAATCAACAGATTGTGCTGTCGGGCTAAAGCACTGAACCCAGTAGTGGGACAGACTTTTTTTTCCCCCAGCATAGACTTATTCCATGTTTTCCTAAACACAGTGAAGTGAGAAAACTCCCACCTTAACCTCCACACCTCATAGCGTCTCCTGGCTGAGAGCTTCTTGAAGGCCATTCTCCGAGCCATGCCAATGAGTAATGCCTGTCTGCTGCTGCTGTTTATTATTTGTATTATTATAACCCCATAGGAGCCCCAGTCATGGACCAAGACCCCATTATGCTAGGCCCTGGACAAACACAACAAAAAGAAGGTCCCCTAAACATAAGAATGGCCATACTGGCACAGGACACCATTCCTGTCCATCCTGGCTAATAGCTATTGATGGACCTATTCTCCATGAACTTATCTAGTTCATGTTTGAACCCTGTTATAGTCTTGGCCTTCACAATATCCTCTGGCAAGGAGTTCCATAGGTTGACTGTGCATTGTGTGGGGAAAAAATACTTCCTTTTGTTTGTTTTAAACCTGCTGCCTATTAATTTCATTGGGTGACCCCTAGTTCTTGTGTTATTAGAAGGAGTAAATAACACTTCCTTATTTACTTTCTCCACACCAGTCATGATTTTATAGACCTCTATCATACCCCGCCCCCCATTAGTCGTCTCTTTTTCAAGGTGAAAAGTCCCAGTCTTATTCATCTCTCCTCATATGGCAGCCGTTCCATTCCCCTAATCATTTTTGTTGCCCTTTTCTGAACATTTTTCAATTCCACTATATCTTTTTTTTGAGATGGGGCAACCACATCTGCATGCAGAATTCAAGATGTGGGCGTACCATGGATTTATATAGAGGCAATATGATATTTTCTGCCTTATTATCTATCCCTTTCTTACTGATTCCCAACAATGTTTGCTTTTTTGACTGCTGCTGCACATTGAGTGGATGTTCTCAGAGATCTTTCTTTAGTGGTAGCAGCCAATGTAGAACCCATCATTTTATATGTATAGTTGGGATTATGTTTTCCAATGTGCATTACTTTGCATTTATCAACATTGAATTTCATCTGCCATTTTGTTGCCCCGTCACCCAGTTTTGAGAGATTCTTTTGTAGCTCTTCGCAGTTGGCCTGGGACTCAACTATCTTCAGCAATTTTGTATCATCTGCAAATTTTGCCACCTCATTATTTACCTCTTTTTCCAGATCATTTATGAATATACTGAATAGGACTGGGCCCAGTACAGAGCCGTGGGGGACACCACTATTTACCTCTCTCCGTTTTGAAAACTGACCATTTATTCCTACCCTTTGTTTCCTATCTTTTAACCAGTTACTGATCCACGAGAGGACCTTCCCTCTTATCCCATGACAGCGTACTTTGCTTCAGAGCCTTTAGTGAGGGACCTTGTCAAAGGCTTTCTGAAAATCTAAATACACTATATCCCCAACAAATCTCTTCCCCAACAAATTATGTTCATCTATGTGTTTGACAATTTTGTTCTTTACTATAGTTTCAACCAGTTTGCCCGGTACTGAAGTCAGTTAGTAGTTCTGCAATTTCACATTTGCGTTCCTTCAGAACTCTTGGGTGAATACCATCTGGTCCTGGTGACTTATTACTGTTTAGTTTATCAATTTGTCCCAAAACCTCCTCCTCCCTTCCCCCAAGGAGCTTACAATCTAGGTAGCTATGGCCTGGACCCAGCAAGCAGCTGGAGCCCCTTTTGACAACAACAGGATTCTGCATAGGTGCAATTCCATGCTCTTGGAACTACTTACAGGATCTGGCTACCATAAAGTTAGCCAAAACTCAAGCTGCAGAGGCACTGATATCAATGGGAATTTTGACTGAGTGAAGACAACAGGATTTGACACTGAAGCCCTGGTCCAACAACTGGTCTACATGGCAGATCCCTGTGCTTACATGGAGCCCCAATGACTTCAGTTTTGTAAAGGGACTGCTCAGTTCAACAAAACAAACTCTCTACTCACAGTGCTGCAGGCTGGGAACTTGCTGCTTTATTCACCTGTAGCACAACAGAGTGAGGGAAAGCCTCCCACCTTACAAAAGAGGAAGTAAGGGAAGGGTGGAACAAGGCTCCATCCCATAATATTTGGGGTAACCTAGTTAGCCCTTTTACAACCACTTTACTACACTTAGCCATTCCATGTGTGGAGTAGCAGTGATATCACCTGATGTAAGTCTGTCAGCAGACTCCTCACGGCACTCCGAGTGATCAGGGTCCCCCTCCCATTGGGGTCAGCATAGAGTTGAAACAAAGCTGCAAAGGACCAGAGAAGACAGCTTTACAATCCTGGCAGAGCCTGAAGATTCTCAATGTAACTTCTTTCCAACCAGAGCTGCCATGGCAACACTTGGATGTCTCATCAATACACCACTTCCAAGAAAGAAATTACCACTATCATATTGTCTGTGACTTGTTCTGAGATGCTTACACAAAGGGTGGTTGGATATTACTCTTCTTCATCAACCTTTTTCCTACAATAAAGCCACAGATTTTGGTCCCATGTACTTACATTTGTGCACACTTGGACCCAGTTTTCTTTTTATGTAGAAATAAAATAGATTGGAGATTTGGTCAACACTCAGTACATAGTATCTTAAGTAGTGTGTACAGGTCTGTTTTTCCCACCTTTGTATTTAGTAAGCAGACTGTCTCCTGAGAGAGCAATTAGGGCAGCTGCGGCCGATCTGGCTTTGATAAAACCTGTTCCAGTCCTAGAACAAGATTAAAAAATAAAGCTAGGAATGTGAAAGCTAAAGCTACTCGTGCAAAAACCATTGTTATATTGGAAGACAACCTCATATAAAAGGACCTGGATTCTTATGTACATGCTTTGATATAGCATATTATTTATATCAAAAATGTGCCACTGTGCCAGGCTCTGTACAAACACAAAACAAAAAGATTACAATCTAAGTCGATTTTAGCGTTGGATTTTACACTGTGATATCACAAACTGTAACAAGATTATGTCCCATCTGAAACCCTGTGTTAAAATGTGATTCTGTTCTGAAAGGTACCCTATAAAATGGCATTTCTTACTCAATAGACCTGCTTCATGTCACTGAACTCCCTCCCTAAGTTTTTACTATCTCTGACTCCTGTGGAGCCAGTACAGCTGTGGGAGAGAAAGCTGGGTTCTACTATGTTTTATGTATCATCAAAAGAATTAACTTGGTCCCCAGCCCAGTAGTGGGCTCTGTGTGGGCAGATCCCAGTGACTGAGCAGATCCTCACTGACTTCATTGGGATGCTTGATAGGCTTATGGATAGGCAGGATCAGGGCCTAAGCTCTAACTGTTGGAGTGCAGGCCAGAAAGGACCCAGCTTCACTTTCAGCTCAACTGCAGTTTGCAAGGTGGACAGTTAATATATTTTTTTTAAACCTGAAAACAGGGAAGAGCAAGCTCCGACTGTCCACAGAAAAGCCTTTGTGATGTTCTCAGCGGGCGTACAAATAAACTAACACATGGATACACAAGAGGGACATACCAGAACCTTTTAGGAAAAAATGTTTTCGCTTCAGATAGTGGAAAAAACTATAGATGGAAGTAAAACGATCACTGGAAGAAAACAAAATGACACGTGAAGCTTTTCCTACAGTGAAAGTCACTGGCAAAATCAGATATCCAGCAAGAGGACAATGATGCCCGGCCTTGGGAAGTCAGAAAATGCTTGAAAAAAGGGACCAAGTCAGTCCTGTAATAGAGATTCTTCTATTCAATTTCCCTTGGATTGTACATACTTAGAGTATGAAGCATAGAAAATACTCCTGATATTTCTCGTTTTGTTCCAAAATACTCTAGTTTATATTTAACCTTCAAGTGATTTCTGTAAGCTGTTCATCACATGGAATTGCAAACAGAAGATCAACTTATTCATTACGGGAAAGTCAAGGGGGATAGTAAAAGTACAATGAATCACTTAAGTTCTGCTTTGGAGGGCTTAAGTGGTACATAGGTTTTGTTCTTGCTCTTTGTGCGGGGTAAGTTCCATCCGTTGTGAATAAATTAAACAATGAATTTAACTTTTTTCTTTTGTTCCTGATTGATTCTGCTTATGAATGGATGACAAACTTTTTAAACTGGAGAATGATGGATAGTAACGCAGGTGCTAGCAAAGGGTGAAACTGAACGACTGAGTAGGTTCAAGTGAATTTTGGCAAAACTGTCTGATAAGCCTTGTGTTCACTAGTGAAATTTTGCAAAAATTTCCCACCATGATTAAAACTAGTTCATCTTTGTGGCTTCCTTGTTAGTAAAAACCCAGCTGTCAGCACCAACCTTTCACTGCCTAATGAGCCGCTGCTGTCAGCACGCACTCTCTCTACTTGTCACCCTAGTTTGGGCATTTCTTTTCAGTTCAGTGAAGGGGTTTATCCTCTGCATTGTTCAACAGCAAATCAGGTTCATACACCTTTCCAATTCACCATCTCTTGGTTTCTCAGGTCAGAGCTACACAGAGCATTCACAGTTCATGCCGTGTAACCTAGTACTACATTTTTTTCAGGGCATGGGAAGCCACCATAGATTCAACCCTTGTACATAATTACTGTTCTTTTGTAGCATGAGTGAGGTTGTTCACACAACAACAAAGTTTCTCCAAGTCTTGTTCTTACCAACAAAACCCACTTGTACATTTCCCATTTTTGTTGTTGTTGTTTGTGAACTTAGTGCTCATTATATTTGATAACTGGGATTGGTGGGTGAAGCTCACCAGATCTGGAGACTGAATTACTCTATCAGACTGAATAGCTGTAGAATGGGATGCCATCATGCAAACTTCCCTGCACTGCTCTGCCAACATGCCTCAACCCTCACCTGGAAGCACTGCTTCTAAGGTTGAAGAGGTCATTCACCTTCCCCGCGCTTTCAGTCCCTAGCCCCTTGGCTGAGATTGCCATCAAGGGGGTTGATTCAAAACGGCATAAATTTTGCAAAAGCAGCATAGTTCGAGAGATTTCCACCAAGTTGGCCTGAAAGCTCATGAGAACAAGTCTGCAAGATTTTGGTGCTATCTAACCTGAACCTTAGCCCTCATTTGAGCTTTGACCTGAACCTCAAACTTTAGCCTAAACTTAATCCAGATCTGAAGATGAACCCCTCTGACTATGTGTAATTTAAATAACACACGCCTTCTGAGCGGGGGAGGGGAGGCACTTACTGAAATGGCATGTAAAAGCAGGAGGGGATGGAAACGGGTGTTACTATAGTGATGATGAAGTCACTGGTGAACTTGCTCTCACCTGTCATACATGGCAGTTAGCAGGTTCTGGGTGAGCTCAGGGGCTTGTGGCTCTACCTGGCCTGGTTTATCTAATCTGGCATTCTGGAATAGCGCCTTCAGCAACTGTGATAGCTGCTGTGTTGTCAGGGAGCTCTGCTTCTCCCTCTGACACTGGTGGCTCGGCAGGATGTGCTGAATCAGGGAGACATCAGTCAAACCCACTGTGGGAAAACAATGGGAGAAATTAGTCAATCCCTATATCTTTATCGTAAATGGAAGCAGAACATTTCTTAATTGAAAATACATAACTAAGACCTGTCTGGAAAGCAAAGACTCTTACAATACTTGGTATAAAACTGAATGGGGAAATACCCTGCAAGGGCTCTTTTGCTGGGTTTTCATATTCAGCTAATATTCTGAGAGTCCAAAGAAGGAAAAGATCAATTGAGGTTTCATGGGCCTGGTTTTTAAATGGTGATACAGGAAAAGTGCAGGATGCAATTAATCATACAAACTGCACATGTAACTTTTGTATGTGGGATGCAACACCCCTGGGCAGAGGGATAACACGAAGCCTATGCACCACTTACAACCTCAAAATAAGGCTTAAGTGGGACTTCAGGCTTCCTTATCCTTCACTGTAGGTTTCCGTACAATGTCCGCTAGAATAAAAGAGCATGGGAAATGGTTTGGCCAAGAACACCGGGGTAACTGCCCTATTATAAAAAAGTGCCATGGGATAGTTAATGTCCACAGAGTGCAGACAGAACTCTGATCTTTTTAAGATCACATCCAAAAGACCATAAGCCAAAGTAAACAGCATAGAACTAACTGTATCCAAGTAGAGGAAAAAGTGCATGGAAAGTGACTGGAAAGGGAGAAGAGATGAACAAAACCAACGTGAACAGCAGGAGTATATCCTTGGCGTTCACTCAACAACTGAGACCGTTAATATGAGCATGCCCTGCACATACATCGATCAGAGAATAGATTCCAAAATGGGAAAATCCACTGAACCAACTGGACATATGATCTGAAAATCATCTAGAAACTCATATTTTGTCAATGATTTTGTGACAACTCTGACATATCGGAAAATATTTTTTTCATGGATTATAAGGCCCAAAGGGACCCCTGTGATGGTCTAGTTTGTCCCCTGTAATGATATTTATGGGATATTTTACTTTACTAAATCCAAGCCTTAATTTGGTTTTGATTATTATTTATTATTACAGTAGATGCAATGGGCTCGAGTTGAGATCAGAGCCCCATAGTGCCAGATATAGTACATACATACGGTGAGACAGTCCTTGCCGCTAAGAGTTCACACTCTAGATGGATAAGGGATGGGAGGAAAAAAGTATTAAAACCCCTTCTTAGGAAAAGGCAACTTAGGCACAGAGAGATTAAGGGTGGGATTTTGAAAACACCTAAGTGATTTAGGAACAGAGGGTCTATCGACTTTCAAATGACTTCAGTATTTTGAAATTCCCAGCCAACATGACTTGCCAACACACAGAAAGTCTGTGAGAGAACTGGGAACGGAACCCAGATTTCTAGTGCCGTAACACCAGGCTAATCTTCCTTGCCATACTGCCTTTTGCCTTAAAGGTAATGACTGCTATTTTTGTACCTTCTCAGGAACAGACTGTTTCAGGTGAGGATGCTGGGGCATTCACCTTGCTGAAAGTGACACAAAGACAACCAATTCCATATGCTTCCACTCTGTGTTAAGCTTGCATTCAGAATTCGAGAGCAAGAAACCCAGAACTCTACTCAGTAACACCTTACTAAGACAAAAGTCCCACTGACTTCAGTGAGAATTTTGCCTGGAGAAGCAGTGCTGAATAGATCCTTTATAGTCTTATTTATTTTGTGGTTGTTAATGATAATAGCATTAATAATACTGTTTGCAAATCACCCATGCATTTTTGATGATTTATGTCTATTTCCAATAAATCAATTCCTAAGCAACACATCAGATTTTGATATTTAACAAGAACATATACGGAGTTCCATAATCGTTGGCAACTTTTACACTATGTTAGCAATGTAATATATTGTAATAATAATGCAAAGATTCCTTATCTTGCAAAACTTTTTTAAAAGCTCTACTGTCTGTCTGGCCAGCCCTCTAAGGTGACCAATCTAGCCTATGACTTAGCAGTTAACAACCCCAAGCTGATAGTGATCTGGACTCCATTACACTTAGTGATCCCAGCTGTGGAAGGGCCAGGGAGACTACCTGAAGAAGGGAGAGAACAGACACAGGAGGAGGTCCAGGAGAAAGGGGAGTTCTTGTTCTCTGGGAAGGGCCTGGTGAAGACAGACTGAGCAGGGCCCTGGAGACAGAACTAGTCCTTGTGGTGGAGCTGGAAAAGGAGAAAGGTCTAGGGAGGCAGCCTTGTGGGTTGGTGTTCCAGGGTAGGAACAAAGAACTAGGAGTAGGAGAAGCTTTAGGTCTGGTCTATACTACCCGCCTGAATCGGCGGGGAGAAAACGACCTCTCCGGGGGCGAATTTTTCCGGCCCCCCCGGGCCGGGCCAACCCAACCC